TAAGAAGTAGATTAAGATAGACTTTACCTCAGAAGTGGGTCTCTGCTTGTATATTTACTTCAGAAGTGTGCTTCTCTGTGTATATTCAGAAAGACTTTCCTTCAACAGACTTTCCCTCAGAAGTATGTCTCTATTTATATACTTACCCCAGAAGTGGCTCTCTATTTATATACTTACCTCAGAAGTGATTCTCTGCTTGTATATTTATTTCAGAAATGTGCTTCTCTGTGTATATTCAGAAAGACTTTCCTTCAGAAGACAGACTTTCCCTTAGAAGTATGTCTCTATTTATATACTTACCTCAGAAGTGGCTCTCTATTTATATATGTACCTCAGAAGTGGCTCTCTGCTTGTATATTTACTTCAGAAGTGTGCTTCCTTCTGTATATTCAGACTTTCCTTCAGAAGACAGACTTTCCCTCAGAAGTGGCTCTATATTTATATACGTACCTCAGAAGTGGTTCTCTGCTTGTATATTTATTTCAGAAATGTGCTTCTCTGTGTATATTCAGAAAGACTTTCCTTCAGAAGACAGACTTTCCCTTAGAAGTATGTCTCTATTTATATACTTACCTTAGAAGTGGCTCTCTATATACGTACCTCAGAAGTGGCTCTCTGCTTGTATATTTACTTCAGAAGTGTGCTTCCTTCTGTATATTCAGAAAGACTTTCCTTCAGAAGACAGACTTTCCCTTAGAAGTATGTCTCTATTTATATACTTACCTCAGAAGTGGCTCTCTATTTATATACGTATCTCAGAAGTGGTTCTCTGCTTGTATATTTACTTCAGAAGGGTGCTTCTCTGTGTATATTCAGAAAGACTTCCCTTCAGAAGACAGGCTTTCCTTCAGAAGTGGCTCTCTATTTATATACTTACCTTCGTGATTGTGTGAACCATCTCTTGTTGTGCTAACCATCCGTGTGTGTTGATCTTCTCTGATTTTGTTAACCATCATTGATTGTGCTGACCATACCCTCAGTGTGGCTGATGCGAAACATCAATTGTTTGCTCTATTGCGAAACACGAATTGTTTGTTCTATTAATAAGTGAAGTGTATAACTATCTGGTGTGTTTTAGCACTTTAGCACTTTACCTTGACCAGCACTTCAATTTTACTATCTTTGTGGCAATTAGATCGCTATCCACTGAGTTCAGCACTTTAATTGTTCAACTAACCATCTAGCATTGAACTTTTCAAGTCCTCCATGATGCACTTTATTTAGCACCTTAGAGCTGATTGCTAAAGCTGTTGCACTTTAAAGCTGATTCAATAGCTATCACCTATGTCACGACCCATTCCCTGGCACCTGTTGTTCTTGTTGCTAATTGTTTATGATAGAGAGAAGGAATGGAGCAGACCTGAAAGATCAGATTATAACATTACAGGAGTGGCAAAGGAGCTATGGATTGATGCTAGGGCCACCGTATGCATCATGGAGGAGGGAGAGGGTTCCGTTAACCGGGGAGCCCCCATAGAAGTCGTGGTGGGGAAGGGGAGATACGGGAAAAAGAGACCTTTAATTCGGCCTAGGGAACGTGGAACAACATTAGTAATTCCAAATCGGTCTCCTGATATGGTAAGTCGGTGTAACCAAGATGGCGGTCCCTCCGAATTGAAAGTGGTGCTGTTGAACGCCAGATCTGTCAACGGTAAAACAACTTTCATCCAGGATCTAATTCTGAATGAACGGGCAGATCTGGCGTGCATCACAGAGACCTGGCTGGACGAAGCGGGAGGTGTAAATTTAACCCAGC